GAAACGGTACATTATAAACATAAGGCCCAGAAAAGAGAGAAACATTAAAGAACAAGAGAGAAGCAGTGATTAGAATTTCGAATAAATGCCTTGAACTATGCAACAACAAATCCAGCATATAGGAACCAAGGAGGCTGGAGGATTTTCCACTCTAGGAGATAAGGGTGAGGGATGAAAAAGGCAGCTGGAGCCCAAGTAACTAAAGCACACCAGAAAAGGAAATACGGTCTCCGTTGCTACAGCGAAACTGGGCACACTCTGAGGTAGCCATAACCTTGGAGATTTTAGTTTGTTTCTTCATTGACAAACAAGAAGTCAGCACTGATAACAATCCTTAATAACACTTCCTCTGGAATGTGCGACATTCCATGTTTCTGCTTCATAGTTACTGCCGGATGTGCCTGAGTCAGACTGAGAGGTAGAGAATTTGCCGAGGCTCTTATGGGACCACTGAAGGTATATTGCCATGACTTGAATGATTTATCCTTCTAAATACACACACACACAAACACACACACATACACACAATGGATATATGGTTTTGTGCAAATATGTGTTTTGTAAAATTACAAAACAGAGAAGGCACATGTTTGGTTTTCAGAATATTATATCCAGTGCAAACAGAATTGATGGATATTTAACAGACTGTACTTAACAATGAAAACAGGCAAGTGTTAGGATTACATTTCTTAAACAATTTGAGACTAAAAAAGTAGACCTGGAAATTTGCCTAATATATGTTCTGTAAGGTATATAATATATTTTGAATGCTCTGATCATTATCTTAAGTAACTTTATTTATTTTCAACTCATCTTGTACTAAGAGCCATAGGTAAGTTTTTTTTTTTTAATCCATGGGTAAAGAATTCAGTGACTTATCTGTAGGTCTTGAATTAAATTGGAAAATCAACTGGAAGTTATCTGGTGCTTATAAATGGTGGGCACAATTAGCTTAAATGTGATGGAACAATATGTTATGCACAATTTTCCCAAATGCTTAGAAAATTAGGTCAATGGGGGCCTCCCTGGTGGTGCAAGGGATTAAGTTGCAGCACTATGAAGCTATCTGCAGCCACTGCAGCACAGCAGTTGGATCCCCAGCCCAACAGGGAGCAAACACACATGGCGCAGCAGACCTCTCCTGTATGGCCCTCTGCTCCTGTCAGCAGTGCATTTCAGTACATCTGCCTGTTCTGCTCCCCACTCTGTTTCTGGTGAATCCTCTCACCCCCCACACCTCTGGCCTGTACCCCAGCTCTTATATGCATAAATAAAATAAATCTTTTTTAAAAAAGTAAGTCAATGGGAACATTAGATTTTCTGAATTTTGTTTTATTGTGACTAGACTTGACCAATGTCCTGTAGTAGCAATGGCTGTACATATCATGTTTTAAGGATCTTTGTGAGGTTCTTGAATCTCTGGGCTTCTATTTAGAATACCTCCGGTCCAGTTAACTGTTCCTCAGTGATCTGGAAGAAATTCTAAAAAATTCTCAGGTAAAGTAGGTCCAATTCATGTGCAGGATGAGAGATCAGTTCTGACTGCAAATGAGCAGCCTGACCATCTTGACTAACCCTCAACAGCACACAATAAACAGAGATTCAGACATAGTGCTGCATCCCATTTTCTGCATCCCAAAGGACATATGCTCACCAGGTCACCAGGAGTGATGGCTGAAAGTTGTACAAATCCCACTTCTATGTTACTTGGAGAAACAGTCCCACTTCCATCATGAAAAAGGTCAATCTGAGTTCCTGGACTATTCGAATTCCTGGGCTATTTTACTAAATCTGGGGTCACAAATGGACAGAGCCCTGTGTGATCAGTTGACATATCCATAGTTATTTTAATACTTTTTGGTGTCACATACTCTCTGGTTCTCCCCAGATCTACCACTGTCTCTTATTTCACATCCAAAGACATTTGGGTTCAGACCACAAAGTACAAAAGCCTTCTGTATGAGATAAAGAAAAGACAGACCTTGCCCCCATTGATTTTAGCCAGAATCACATTAAGTAGTGAATTCTCCTTCTATTTCTGGACATAGATCATACCTTGTTTTTCTGAGGGAATGCCATTGTTCCCATATGTAATTAATCACATAGCCCCTCCCAGTGTACTCCTGAGGTTCATTATATCCTTTTTAAGGTATGAAGATATGAATCAATTAGTTACAAACATGTTTGATCTCCTGCTATTTGTCCAGTAACTTGCCAGAAACAGGGAAGAGCACACATATTTATTGCACATTTAATATGTACTAGGAACTGCTAAGAACTTCCATACATAATCTGTTTTGTTTTGTTTTGTTTTAATAATCTTCAAACTCAGCTCATGGGGAGTAGTTATGATATTGTCATTCCATTCAACAGGTGAGGAAATTGAAGTTCAGAGAACTTTAGTGACTTCTTCAAGGCCACACAGTCAGCATATTAGAGTACGATTTTAGACCCAGATCTTTCTGACTCTATCCACCCCATTATACCTGGATCTGCATTCAAGGAACTAGCAGTCCATTTGAAGAAACAGAGAAATTCTATTTTTAAAAAAACCCTATTAAAATTAACCTTCCTAGAACAGTTAATCCTAAGGAGTGGTTTTTTTTTTTTTTTTTCATTTTTGTTATTTATGCATACAAGAACTGGGGTACAGGCCAGAGGCGTAGGGGTGAGAGAATTCACCAGAGACAGAGTGGGGAGCAGAACAGACAGACTGAGTGAAAATGCACTGCTGAGGGGAGCAGCGGGCATGACAGGAGAGGTCTGCTGCGCCATGTGGGTCACCTCCCTGGCCAGGGATCAAACTCATGCTGCAGTGTCTGAGGAAAGCTTCATAGTGCTAATGCTTAACCCCTTGTGCCACCAGGGAGGCCCCTGTCTTTCATTTCCTGTTCACATGTTCAAATAAACAAAGTTTCTTAGTTAGGGCTCTAAAGAAAAGCCCACTCCACACATAATCCACTCTGTAGGCCTATCCTTTCAGGAGCAATTCAAATTAAAAAGTGCAAGAGATAGCCAATCAAGTCCTGTAGCTGCACCAACTGTGCCATGTCCTGATATGATTACATAAGAAAAAAGAGTTACTGGGGCCATAAGTGAATAAATTATAAGTACCAAATCAATATGAAAAAGCAGATATTAAGATAGTTTGTAAGAGAAAGAGATCAGGAAAAAGCAAAATCTGGGACTTTAATGGTGATATTGTATGATAGCATATACCATACTCCTAAAACTCATTCATGGTTATAAAACAACATTAATCTCAATAAACATAATTTAAAAAGAGATAGCAAAGTCAGAACACTAGTAACGGTTTTAAGTTGCACAGATCTGGGTTTTAATCCACCTCTATGATGTTGAGCAAGTTACATGACCTCTGCCAGTTCTATTTCTTCAACTCTTGCCCAGAAATATTGAGATTCAATAATAAATGTAAAATAGCATGGTTCCCTCTTTGTTCTCACTGTATTGTAATATAATTATTCTACTTATTTAGCAGTTTTCTCTTAACCCTTAACATATTCCAAATTAAATGGCTTACCTGATTGGTAAGAAAATGCTTATTATATGCCACTCTTCATGTTCTCTTGAGGAATGAATTTTCTGCAGAGCAGGAAGTTTCTTCCACTCTTGCTTGCAATAACTTTCTGTCTAATGCCACCATGACTGAGTGGGAAAATCTACCTAATTCTAGTGTCTGTTTAATAGTAAGAAACACAGTGCTATATAAATACAGATAGGGGAAGGGAGACTTGGTTGGGGAGGTAGACTAGAACTAGATTGTGGGAAAGATCTTACTAGATTATCATAGCATGACATTTCAGCGGATTCCTTAAAATGTACAAATATTGATTAAAAATAATTTAAGTCCAAAATAATATTTGCTTTTGGTGTTTAGATAGTTTTATTGGGGAGAGGGATGCTGTTTGGGAGAGGTTGTTTTGTTTGTGTTGAGGAGGTAGGGGTGAGTTATTGATATTTTAAATTTTGTACAGGTTTTGTTATTTTCTAAGGTATTTTATACTAAAGTACTAATAAACTCATCATTTGATGGACATATCTACTAAATTCTTTGTTCTCCAAGTGTGGTCTAGGGGCCATCTGCCTGAAAATTACCTGGAGAACATTCAGAATGCAAATTTCTATTCCTCACCTCAAATCTGCCAAATTATAGTCCCTGAGGGTGAGGCCTGGGAACATGAGTTTAACATTCTTCCCAGGTGATTTTTATTCTCACTGTATTAAGGGCATCACCTGCCAACAGACAGGTGAATTCATTTTAAATGTACCTAGAAAAAGAGGAAATTATGTTTGTTTGCGTATGTACATACATATGTGTGCATAGTTATTGCTAAATAAGTGTATTAACTATTCAGATTTATCAGTATTATTTTGTTTTAAGGAATCTGATGAAATGGCATTCTATGAAGATATAACAAGATCTTTTCCACAATCTGGTTCTAGTCCACCTTTCCAACCAAACCTTCCTTTTCTTTTCAATGTTTGTATGGCTATGTCCTTTCTATACCAGGCTCCAGAATTAAGTAGATTTTCTCACTCCATCATGGTGGTAGAAAATTCATTTCCAAGAAAGCAAGACAAGTGTTAACTTTTTAACAAATAGATTATAGCAACCTTGCTTACTCAATCAAGGATCATCAAAATCCCTCCAGGACCTTTTATATCTGTGGACATTTTGTACCTTACTGATTGGTCTTATGAACAACACTAGAAAAATCATAGGCAATTTTAAAATCTTTTTTTAAAAAATAGAGACTAACACACTCTTTTAAAAGAACAAGAACTCTTGAAAATCTTTCAAAGAATCATAGCTTCATTGGGTATGTCCTCTTCTCGTTGTAGGTGAATAGAGGGAATAGACAGGAACCTCAACACAAGAGTGTTCTTAAGCATCAGTTGCTTATATCCCACTATAATACCTCCCTTCTGTTTGAAAGCATGGGGAGACAGTGTTAGACCTGCTTTGTTTCTCTTCATAGATCATGCAACAGATGAGTGACCACCGCTATGACAAACTCACCGTGCCTGATGACATGGCCGCAAACTGTTTATATCTAAATATCCCCAGCAAAGGCCATGTCTTGCTGCACCGAACCCCAGAAGAGTATCCAGAAAGTGCAAAGGTAAAAAAACACCTTTCCTGGAGGAAGATCAAAACAGGGGTAGGAAGAGCTCAAGGAACCATGGAGATGGTTCATGGGATGGGTGGTGGGAATTTCACGGGGACTATAACAGACATGAAAATGCATACACTGTACAAAAATGAAAAATGATGTAAAAAATACATAAAATAATAATTAAAACAAAACACCTTCCTGATCACCGCAGCTGGGTTGGCCTTCTTGATCGTCTTCCTGCGGGGATGTTTTCCTGATGGAGTGATAAATCTCTCTAGACATTGCAAATCATTCAGAAAGCAGAAAGTATGGTATAATTTAGGGCACAGTAAAGTTAATTTAACTCACTCTTCTCATCCATGTCATTATCACTAATGTATGCACAGTTGTTGAGATGAGATACCCGGTTTCAAAGCTTTTCAAATGAGTGTGTGGATTTCCCAAGCAGCCAGTGCTCTGGCACTGATTAAATGCACCTTTCCGCACTCTGGTATGCATTATGCACAGAGACCTACAATTAGATGGTCAACTAGGTGGTTGTTTTCTGACACATCTGGAGTGCCCCTCATAAGAGGGTCATTTGTTTCTGAGGGCAGGGGATTACAAATGGCCCAAAGAAGTGGGTGTTCATTGTCAGGGCTGCAAAAAAGAAGGGTCTGCACATCCTAGCAGCAAAGGTGAAAGGAAGAGCAGGAAAAATATAGTACACGGGGAGCCAGTCAGCTGGTCCAAGAGCCTCTGCATTTGTGTTCCAACTAGGGAATTTTCCTTAGATATGGAATTCTTTACTGCTCTGAGAAAATCTTCCTTGTCTTTCAAAGCACTCTTCCAGTTTCCCGTGAATACTTTAGTAATTTCACTTGAACTCTACCAAGCACGTGGAAAAGCAAGTATCCGCAGATTCTTCAAATGTTTGTATCTTTTCAGTCTTTCAATTATATTCATCTCTGCCCAGGGGAACAAGATATTTATACTAAGAATGGCAGAAAAGCCTTTAGTAACCATGGACTCATTTTTTTGTACATCTTATGTTTTAAAATTTTTAGAAAATATGGGCCTCCATTAAAACCGTAAAAACCCAAATCCAGGCCTCCCTGGTGGCGCAAAAGTTTAAGCACAGCACTATGAAGCTATCCACAGCCACTGCAGCACACGTTTGATCCCCGGCTAGAGAGCTGACCCACATGACTCACTGACCTCTCCTGTCTCACCTGCTGCTCCCTTCAGCAGTGTATTTCAGTAGATCTTCCTGTTCTGCTCCCCACTCTGTCTCTGGTGAATCTTCTAACCCCCACACCTCTGGCCTGTACCCCAGTTCTTGTATACATAAATAAATCTTTTTTAAAAAAATTAGAAAATATTTTATGCCACCCTTGTAGATAGGTAACTATATAATTACTAGGTTTATCCTCATTATATATCTACCTCTCAGCAGATAAAAAAAGAAGAATGCGAGCATAATTTCTAGCTCTGTGGCTGAAAGTGTGAACCTGGGGAGAACAGGACTTCTGACCCCACACTGGGGCTTCCCCATCTCTCAGATGAATAGGGGGTCTCATATTTAACATGAAGCAGGGTTGTTAAAAAGGCTCCTGAACTCCCACCTTGGCATATGCATTATCAAAAAGCACCCAGTTTATAGAACTCACTTGGAGAAGCACAGCTCTGGAACATCTATAATGGTCATTAATTGCTTCTGAATTCAGCCCTGGGTCTCTCAATGAAAACATTATCAGCATTTACTGAGGGCTCGCCCCGTGTCTCACAGGCTACGTGCATTATCTTTTTTTTAAAAAGATTTATTTATTTATGCATACAAGAACTGGGGTACAGGCCAGAGATGCAGGGGGTGAGAGGATTCACGAGAGACAGAGTGGGGAACAGAACAGGCAGATCAACTGAAATACACTGCTGATGGGGAGCAGCGGGCGAGCCAGGAGAGGTCTGCTACTCCATGTGGGTTTCTCCCTAGCTGGGGATTGAACTCATGCTTTAGAGGCTGTGATTGCTTCATAGTGCGGTGTTTAACCCCTTGCACCACTAGGGAGGCCCTATGTCCATTATCTTATCTAGTCCTTAGATCAGCCCTGTGAAGGGGTTGTTATTATTCCAGTTTTAGCCACCCAGATGTCGCTGAAGTGGTTGTGCTTTAAGTAGTAATTTGTCAAAATTGGATTTGGGGCCTCCCTAGTGGCCTAGGGTTTAAGTCTCAGCACTATCACCCTTAAGGCCTGAGTTGATCCCTGGCCAGGGAGCTAAGCCACACATGGCGGAGCAGACCTCTTCTGTCTCACACGCTGCCCCCCCTTACAGTGTATTTCAGTAAATCCCCCTGTTCTGCTCCCCACTCTGTCTCTGGTGAATCCTCTCATCCCCGCACCTCTGGCCTACACCCCAGTTCTTCTACAATATAAATAAATAAATAAATCTTCAAAAAAAAAACTGGGTTTGGAACCCAACTTTGTCCTGCTCCAGCACGCTTAATTAATCACTGTCCTGAACAAAATAGGTTCCTAAAGAAGCAAAGTCAATTATCTTTAGGCAGCATATATTGAGGTGATTTTGTTTTTTAAAAAGTCTTTGATCTTCAGAGAAAAATCGATTAATGTGAAGTTTTGGCACATGCTTTCTATTAGTGTCAAAAATGCTATAAAATTCACACCTGTAATATAAAAGCAGTTTGACCTGATACTTCACATAAATTACATTTTGTCAAGTTTTCCCAGTGGCGTTGGTAAAGAAAGAGACATTAAAGTATAGTTGGCCGGTTTTTAAAATGTGGAGAGAGTAAAATTAGGACTGAAAACATGCCACCAACTCTCATTTATCACTTAATCTAGAATGACAATGGAAGCATGAGAGCATTCCTACCAACAACCACATTTTTTTTTAAAGATTTATTTATTTATTTATACACGCACTGGGTACAGTCAGAAGCGGGGAGGGTGAGAGGATTCACCAGAGCCAGAGCAGGGATCAGAGCAGGCAGAAGGACCAAAGTACACTGCTGAGGGGAGCAGCGGGCGGCAGGAGAGGTCTGCGCGCCATGTGGGACCCTCCTCCTGTGGCCGGGCATCGACCGGCACTGCAGAGGCTGCCCGCAGCCTCGCAGCCCAGCATTCAACCGCTGCGCCACTGGGGAGGCCCCAACAACCACATTTCTGACACATCTTTGGCGCTGAGGTTATGGCAGAGCTAGTGGTTAAGCAATGCTGCTAGCTCTGTGCTTATGGCTGTGGGCATGTGTGATTTGGATGTATATCCTAGGATTAATGGGTGAATAGCCTAAATTCTAATTCTCTACACCAGGGGGGAGATGGACTTTTAGACAGAAGAATTATTTATTTTTTAATTTTTTTTGAAATTATATATTCACTTTTTTAATTTTTTAAATTTTTTACATCATTGTTCATTTTTATTTTTATATTAATTTTTTATTTTTTTACATTGTTGTTCATTTTTAAACAATATTTGCTTCCTCCCACCCCCTCAGGTGTAGTCCCCATAGAGTTTCCTTCATCAATGCATCTGTGCACCATCACCTCAGTCCCCTGTGCTTCTCCCTCCCTCTGATCCCTCTCCCTCCTCCTCCTCTGCAGGATGTCTCTGATTTATAATTGTCCATTTTTGCTTTGTTGTGTTTTGTACTGTTATTATGTTTTTACACTGATGTTTTATTTGGTTCCCCTATATTCCTGCTATAAGTGAAACCATCTGATATTTTTCACCCAAAAATAGATGACTGGATCAGGAAGATGTGGTATATATACACAATGGAATATTATTCAGCAATCAGAAAAGATAAACTCATGCCAATCCCAGCAACGTGAATGGAGCTAGAAGGAATTATGCTCAGTGAAATAAGCCAGACAGAAGCAAAATTATAATCCTCTTCTCTCTCTTTTCCCTTGACCCCTACTGTAGGTGTATGAAAAGCTGAAGGACCATATGCTCATCCCTGTGAGCCATTCTGAATTGGAAAAGGTGGACGGGCTGCTCACGTGCTGCTCCATTTTAATTAACAAGAAGGTGGGCTCCTGAGTTGCAGTCCCTCCCTCGGAGCTGGCAATACTGCACTCACGAGGCCCATAACTCTCCCCATTCCCGTTGTTTTCATTGACAATCTACTGTGCCACTGTGCTACTAACTGGTTTACAAAAGTTTAATTCTAAGTTTAATCACTTCATTCTGCACACTCCCCTTGAGGTGGTACCTAAGTTATGGATTTGCTAAATGAATTAAGCAATCTAGAAAATATAGAGCTAATGAATTGCTGAAATGTGATTAATAATAGTAAGGAAACACTCATGTTTGTCTTATCAGTGTAAAGATTGTTTATTTGCCAGTATGTTCTGAGAAGTGACTTCTTGATCAGTCAGATAAGCTGCATTTTTTTTCTATCATTAATCATCTTGGTTCCTATGAAATTCCCCAATCATGGATCCTATTTTATTCCCTCTTTTTTTTTCCTTTTGAACCCTGGGAAGCTTTCCCCCAGTAACTTTCTTTGTCTTTTCCACCTCTGTACAGTCACCTTACATAAGATCTGGAGTCTTGCCCCCCAGGACACCTTCCTGCGTGCCCAGCCTGTCAGCCATGGTCTCCTCTGTCTTCAGGCTTTGTCTTACCAAGCCCACTCTTCCTAAGAGAGCCAAACGGGCCCCTCAGCAGAACCAGAACTAAAATCAGAGCAGCTGTTTGGGGAGAGTTACACACACAGAGGCATATCCTGATAGGGTTTGCCCCAGATATCTAAATTCCAGAAGTATATCACCACACCTAGGAAGGTAAAATTGGCAAGAGGTGGTTGCTAGGGGACTATGGATCAAGAAGCTTAGAAACAGCCCATGGGTACAACTTCTTAGAAAGTCTTCAAGTCACATTCCATGAATTTTTGCTTCATTACTGGTCATATACAGAACTTGGAAAACAGCCTTATTTGTTCCTTCAGCTTCATTTCTTAAAAAAAAAAAAAAGACATCACATCTAAAATTGATGATTGATGATGGTCTGGTGCCAGCCAGATGGAGCATAGTCCAGAAATGATCAGTTCAGTGATGGAAACTAATCATAGACAATGGTTTGAAATATCCATGAATACTTTCTATGGAATTCAATGAAAATATCTAGTCTTCATATTACACAAACTTAAACTGACACTTGTCCCTTACAAAGAACAATGCAGCAAGGAAGGGAAAAGCCATTGTCTTTTACTTACACTTGAAAGAATCAGCCTCTCCACAGAGAAATGGCATTTTCCAAGGAATGATGACTGATCTATGCATGTTATCAAACTTCCTAGTCATTCCACCATTCCTGGATTGCCTGTGGCTTGTTTAAGATTGAGAATCAGGATTAAGAAATAGTACTTCAAGTCTTGCTCTGCCAACCCGTGTGTTTCTGAGCTAGCATTCATGTTTGGTGACCAAGAGAGAATTACCTTCATTCACTTCCTCTCCCTCTCAGCAATTGGAGGTGACAAGCCTCTGAGAAAACCAAGACATAATTAACCACTATCTGTCTTTTTCATTCATTTAATGACTTTTGCCAGAATTGGAAGAAATTCCTTCTCTTCCTTTTCCTCTTTGTTGCTTCATTTTGAAAGACATGTCATGTGCAAATATCTAATTATTTACATCCTATGAGTGACCCATATCTTGGTCACTGTTAGATTTTGCACTGCCCTATCATGATGAGTAATATGTTTTCAACAATGAAAGAATGTTACCCACATGCCTAAGTTAATGAAGAAAAATTGTCCCTGAGTGGTTGTAGTTGCCTTTTGTGTTCTGGCACTATGCTGGAAAAAGCAGAAATTCTCCCTCTGAGAGTTTAACATTTCAAAAAAAGAAAAAGAAAACTAACAGAATTAGCCAGTTTAGGTTTAATAGTAAAGCCAATTGGCATATAATTTTCAATATCTTTAGTTCTGTCATCCTAAATTAACTGTTTTTCATTATGTTTAGTTAATTACAAGTGAATTGATTTTTCTTTTGTACAATTTGGGCTACAGAAGACTGCTTTTCACTTTTTTCTTTCCTTTGCTCTTTTCCCTCTTTGTCTCAAGAAATCACGTCATTTATATGTGTCTCTTCTACAGTAACTGCTTTGTCACCTACTATGCTGGCTTCTTTGGACTCCCTGTGATAATGATGATGTGGAAGTCTAAATATTCACAGCATAGTAGTATTACTTCTTTGATGTTCTCATCAACATAATGTCATCTTTGAAGAAGAAAGATAATCCATTATTTAGGCCCCGTCCTTGTCTCGTGATTTATAAGGATAGATAAACTAACAGAAGCTGCTTTATGAAGTTATAAAGACATTAGGAATTGTATTTAAGTAAGTAAAAGTTAAGTCAGAATTAGTTGGTCAGTAGGAATCAATTGAATAAGAACAATATAGAGAAGATACATTATTTAACATTATTTCTCAAACTATGGTGGATTGCTATAGAAATCAGCAGGCAGATATCTCTGTGTATTGACTGCTCTTTTAAGCCACTGTGAACAGGTTTCTATGGCTGTCTCTTTATCTCTAAGGGAAAATAGTCTATAGATGAATAATGTGACTTATATAGAGTTGCATGTTAGTCTTTGTAATTTTTCACTCTATAACATTCTACAGAACAGACATGATTCCAACATGCCGTGAGAGTTGTACATTTTGCATCTTGTTGCAGCCAGTGTGTGGTTATCCACTCTGTGTGCCAAAACCAGTAATGCCTTTGATGGCTCTTTAGTCCAGAGAAGTTCTGCACTGATTTTAGTCTCTTGCTGTCCCAATCCTACAAGTATACCAATCACGATGGAATAAAGTGTGAGTTGTACTGTGATCAATAGTGTATGCCTCATTCTTGCTGTAGTGAGCCAAGTCACCCTTTCCTTGCTGTCAGTGATGGGACAATGTCTCCCTTGTCCTACTAGCTACGGAATTAGAAAAACTGCACTTGCAATATATGGCCTTACGTGCCTATTGAGCCCTTGAAATGTGGCTACTGTGTCTGAGGAACTGTTTACTTTCAATTCAATAAAATTTAAAGGGCCATCTGTGAATAGTGGCTGCCAGATGAGAGCACGGCTCTATACAAAGTTTTGGTAAGGAATGGAGACTTCCCAGATTGCATACTGTCCTTTCAATCAAACATTTAACAAACAAAAATGTATTGACTATGTAACAGGAAAGTTTTCAAGAGCTTATAATCAAGAGAGGTAATAAATAAATAAACTGTCATAAATTTTTTTAGAAAAAAGAAATGCTGTATACTTGCAAATCAGCTGCCATCAAATGCTTGGATTAAAATGATATTTACAGTGATCCTTCATACTTCGAATATTTAAAAGCATGCATGTTCTCCCTGCTAGGTCATGAGGACTCGATTCACATGTGCTCTTCCTTAAAGAGTCTTCCCCTTTCTCACTTTTACTCCTAACTGTGGTAAGGCTCACTTAAGGTGGCATTTTAACAGTGTGTTTTTTTCCCCTGGTCATGCAAGAGATTTTTCGCCTTTGTTTTTCAATAAATATCTTATAGAAAATTTATCTTTTAGGAAATTTATCTTTTAGGGATTTTTTTTAAGATTATTTATTTATTTATTTATACAAGATTGATTGGTTGATTGATTGATTTATACAAGCACTGGGTACAGTCAGAAACACGGGAGGGTGAGAGAATTCACCAGAGCCAGAGTGGGGAGCAGAGCAGGTAGAAGGACTAAAGTACACTGCTGAGGGGAGCAGCGGGCGGCAGGAGAGGTCTGCGCGCCTTGTGGGACCCTCCTCCAGTGGCCGGGGAGCATCCGGGGATCAAACCGGCGCTGCAGAGGCTGCGGGCAGTTTCGCAACCCAGTGCTCAACCGCTGCGCCACCAGGGAGGCCCAGGAAATTTTTTTTAAATGAAGATCTTTATTCACAATTTTTCCAAACTCAAAATAGCTTTACTGTTTTTCTTTTCCTGAGTGTAAAATTAACAATTGTTCACTATAAAAATAAAATTTAAAAAAAACTATAAAAGCAAAAGTAAAGAAAAAATTATGCAAAATGTCATCATGTCACGATAACCACTATTAACATTCTGAAGACTATCCACATACCTATAAATAGACATAGATTTAAATATGAAATAATTTTGCATAACCATGCTGTTCTGTGGCTGCTTCCTTCACTTAGCATTAAATTGTGGGCATCTCTCCATGTCAATAAATATAGATCTATATCATCAATTTTAACATCTCTGAATATTCCATGATACAATTGTTGAAGCTACTCTTCTAATTTATCTGGAGTGTTATATCATGGGTGTTGAGTATGCTCACATTGCTGTTAGTGAAGGGTCTTCAAGCTACCAGAAATGCACTGCTGATTTAAAATTGAACACACTCCCAGAGTTTGTTCAACCTGGTGTCATCTTATTGTAACTGAATGATACATGCACATGTTCATCAGAAACACAGACCAGTGCTAAGGTTCCTTGGAGAGGCTGTTGATTTAATCACATCTTCTCAATTAGTAGTGTGTTGATTAGTTCTTCTCCATTGGATTGGCATTGTATGGGCGATGAAACTAAAAATGTGCCAACTGCCGCCTACAGACATCTTCTGTCCGCCCCCCCATAGGAAAACCCTCCACCTATGTGTCAGGGTACAGGTCTCCTCACAGAGAAGAGAAACACCTTTAAAAGGAAGAATTGATAGGAATTCGCTGACCATTCTTCCTCAGCCTTCCAGAATAATGGAGGAAGATTAGAATGAAAAAAATTCCCTCCATGATGAGATTCTGGAAATGGTAACTTTGCTGAGTGAAGAATGCTGGTCACCAGTATTTTAGGCAAGTGAGCACACTCAGGCTCCAGGATGTAGTCCTGTCTTTCAGAGCTGACAGTCTGGAAGGAACAGGAAGAAATGATGACAGCACAACAGAAGGTAAGGTGAGAACTGTAAAAGAACAGTGCTGTGGCAATCCCCTATCTGGGAAAACAAGCAGGAGAATCGGGGTTTGATCTGGGCATGGAAGGATGGTTTTGGCTTCAATAAGTCAAGATGGGAGTGCAGGCATTGGAGGCGGACGAACAGCATGAGCAAAGGCACAGGGAGGTGAGAGAGCACAGTGTGCATTCCAGAAGCACCTACTGTGTACCAGTTAACTGCTGGTTCCTGGTGTACAAGGGTGACAGTCCCTATTACCTGGAATTTACATACAAATAGGAAGATGGGCTTTAACCAAATTACAGCAAGAGTGATGAACCTTATGAAAGGAGAATGGGGTACTCAAAGCAGATGGAAGGGGTAAGCAGGAGGATTGATTTGGCTAAACCATGAGACAAGCAGAAGAGCACAGTGAGACCATATTTGTAGGAATGTCAAAGGCTTTTCCCTCAAAGGTTGGGTATATTTGGACTGAATTTAGCAGTCTGCAAGGATCTCCTGAAGTCTTTTGGGTCAGGGAGTGACATTACTGGAGCTTGAGACTGCAACCTTGTATCGAATGAATGGAAATGGCTGTGTCTCCAAGTGTAATTTCTCCAAGTTTAGTTTGTAATTTAAACATCTCACCACCAAAATGGAGCTTGAAAGCTGGGCAATTAACTTCCTCTACATTTTCTCTCCTGAAAAACGGATTAATAACACCTTCCCGTCCCAACTCCAAAGGGATATATTCAACGCAAATGAGATAAAAGGACTGAAGCGTTCTTTGGAAGAAAGGTACAAAGTAAATATCATTATCATCATCATTATCCTCATTAACTCCTATCATAGCAAGTCTGGATACCATCAAAATGTCATCTTCTATTTGAAACATCAATCACCTACTCCAGAAATAACCTAGGATTGCATCGTTGATGCCTCTGAGCTGGCTGACAGTTTCCGTGGCGAATTCACAGGTATTCATGATAGCCGGAGCTGCTGCTCCACAGACATACTTACATCAGAGAATTGTTGGTGAATCAGAAGAGCCCCCATCTCCCTACCCCCTCCAAATACTCGTTACTAACTAAGTGAAAGCTGGGCCAGTTATAGCACAAGATAACTGGGGTTATCAGGCTTTTAGGAGAATGTGCAAGTGCCAAATATGTTACTGTCACTATAAATAAATAAAAGATTCAAGCCAATGTGCCAGCAAACTGCTGGGTAAAAGATAGCCTGGCTGGCTTGTGACAAGAATGCCTAAAAGTGTTGATGGGTCCCTAGGTCTTGGGAAGCTCCCTTTATTTATAAGTAGAAAGTGTAGTCATTTGGATCTGAATAAAAAGAGCAAGCTTGGGTGAATTTGCACAGACCTGAGAAGGTAGTTTGCTTTTGTCTGTGCTTAAACATCAAAAAATAAATTTTAAGGTCGTGCATCTGGACAAGAACATTTATTGATTAGACAGGACTTTGAAATAGAATTGCTCAACATTAAGTTAGGATACCCTGTGCTACGTTTTGAAATTTCCCACTATTTCGTAAAGGTACAAAGATTCCACATATTTCACTGATGCAGGAAAAGTTCAGGAACCAAACAAATTCTGGTGTCAAGCCATAGTTGGACTATGTCGAAATGTTAGCTCGTCTACCTCTGCAAGGAGCTTGTGGAGTAAACAGATTCACAATTCCAACAGAGGCTTAAAATTCCAGCATGAGATATGGACAATGTCATCTATTTGTTTACGTGGGAGCCAGGTGAGTGTATGAAGTCCCAAGAATTAATACTATGATAGAAACATGGAGTTTGCTTGTTTTCCAGGCTTAATAATAATAAGGGGAAACAGAAAGAGCATTGTTACCATGGTAAGATGGTAACAAGGAGTCAGTGAGAGGGAAGAGAATTCGCCCCGCCCACACTTGAATCAAGAGAGCTTAATGAAGGTCTGTTTCAAAGATATGGGTGTTAAGGGTACAAACAAGGAAAGGTGAACCAACAGCTGTCAGCAACACTCATAGATCCAGCAGGACAAGACAGGAAATTGTGCTTCTGAGTCTGGGATGGGGAGGCCGCAGCTCCAGCCAGAAACGAGGTTCCAGAGCAGGGAAGCAGTCATTACCTCAGCCTCTCTTTGCACACTCTGTTCTGTCGGTGCTCCCCCCGCTGCATACAACTGCAAGATGTCTAGTGAGGGGGTCCAAGTCATGCCCTCCCCGCAAGGGGGCAGCTTCCTGGAGCACAGAACTGGCATAGAGGTGCGGAGGAAGCTGCTGCTAACATCAAAAAGCTCTTCGCCCATCAGAGAGCGGCCATCACCAACTCTCTCAAGGTCAGCATTTAAATCACACATCTTGCCAAGCTCCCCAGACTTGGGGTCATGTCCATTCTGTGGTCTGATTCTTCCTTTCTTGATAGCAGAAAATGATTGGAAGGGAATCAGCAATAGAACGTGAGTCTGTCCTGCCGCAGGGAGCAAGAATGTCACATTCCAGACCCATGAGTCCTGGACCTCTTTAGCAAGCACTATGTTAATTCTAAAAATAGAGCAGTCTCCCGGGCACCAGTGTCCAAAAACAGCTAGTTGCCTCTTTACAACATGCCCATGACCTGCTGGAGACATGAAGGTGTTTAGAGTCCAAAGGACTTATTTTCTGTGTTCCCCTTTTATTTGTGCATCACCCTCCACTTGTTAAGCACAAGCTATTTTTGGGATGTTGCTCATGAGGATAATATCCAGTCTAAACTGAGAGAAGGGAGTTCCACATTGCTGGCGGTGGGGGGTGGGGGGGTTCAGGTAGAGACCAAAGGACCATATCCAAGAGCGATTATACAGAAATTGCTCTCCCCAGTAAAATTTGATCTAGATAACATCTAAAATCTTTTTCTGGGGCCTCCCTGGTGGTGCAAGGGGTTAAGAGGCAACCTATGAAGCTGTCCTCAGCCCTTGAAACAAGAGTTTGATCTCCTGCCAGGGAGCTACCCACATGGCGCAGCAGACCTCTCCTGACTCACCCACTGCTCCCCTCAGCAGTGTATTTCAATCGATCTGCCTGTTCTGCTCCCCACTCTGTCTCTCCCCCACACCTCTGGCCTGTACCCCAGTTTGTGTATGCATAAATAAATAAAATAAATCTTTAAAAAAAATCTTTTTCTGATTAGGCATTTGTACTGACCAGATCCTGGGTGATTTCCCTTTCTCCTGTGTTTACCTCTCCCAGTCTCCCAAATATGTGAACATTGTCCTCATGTTTAATTAACAATAATAAGGTTTCCACTTACAGCATGACAGCATGAAAAGTTCTCTGAAGTGGCAC